AACCATAATTCATTCATTCAAGGTATATAAAAGTGATTTTCACGTGTATAAAGATAGAAAATCAAAAACACATAGTCGTTTTAAAAGTATCAAATATTCCAATAATACAAATATAAGACGAGATATTTTACTGCAAGGATAGGAATCAATAGAAGATAACAAATATACCACACAAGTGTTATAAGGTCACGCATATAAAATACGAGTAAAACAGACTCCATTCAGAAAAAAATCCAATGCCACTTATCTCTTGTATACTGTACTATTATGATTAGATGATATCTGACACATGGTACATGTAAATGTGCTACTTTAACAACCAGTGTCACCTCAATCTGGGAGTCAGGTTTAATATTTTCTGTATTTTGATTTTATTTTCACACATGTATTTCCTTTCGTTAATGGTGTTTCTTTGATACTGACCCTATTTTGGTATAATGGTATCTCACCAATGGTGTTCAAACCATTATGTCGCTTAATTAATTGTAATGAATTCACCTATATATCATAATTTGGAAATTGAACTCATTGTTACTGCATATCTAAACATGGAATGATGGAACCTGTTTTACAAACATAACATTAAGGTGTCCGATTGTGAGCGTCTTGAGAAGGGGGGGGGTTAGGGGGCCTCATTCTATAGGGACCAGTGATACAGACAGGACATAGTCAAGTTTGTCCAGAGATTATAAAACAAATGTCATATCGGAAAATACAAGTTCCATACTACAGGTACATGTACATACATATATGTATGGTATTTGTTAACTTCATCAAAATTCATTCCTTGGGGGAAAAGATAAGATTTTTTTGTCTATCATAATGTCAACTGCATGTCAAGTGAATGATAAGTAGCATGTAATAGCCTCACAGTATATGTATATGTGCATTTTTGAAATAGATAGTTTTCCTCTTTCGCATTCCTTTATATTCACAGGTACTAACCTTAGTTCAAGATACTATGTTTGTTGGTAGACTTGCTACCCCCCCCCCCCACTCAACTCAAAAAACAACCTCCCATGACCTGTGGATGTATTTAGGAGGGGCAAAAATGTGCAAAGGACATATTTCAAGTTTGGAAGTTTATGAACCAGAAGTATATCAGATTCATTCTTGATTGTGACATTTTTTCTAAACAGAAATGTCCCATATACTTTAAAACAAAACATGTTTCCTTAAACATGAAACAAAACCTATTCAAATATATCTGATGCATCATTAAGTTCACTGGTGCAATACTGTAAATATTTTTAATCGCTCAACTAAGAAAATATATTATGCTTGAGACACAAAATATTTTATTAACTAAACCAATGGGACTATATTAGAAAGGGTTTTCGATGGCAAAATATCAAGAAACATACACTGTTATCAGTGGTTATAGTTAAGAATGCATGGTCAGCTTAAAAAAAATAAGAGTAAAATAAAGTGAATTTTTCAGGGAATCAGATGAAATGAACACTCCAACTTGAATAAAAATGTCCAAATAATCAATAGGAAATTCGAGAAATAGCATGAAAAAACATGACAATTTGAGGAGAAAAGTATAAGGGACAAATATGACAAATGCCAAAATTTCTTACTGTAAAAACAACATGTATATGATACTGTACTTTGGCCCAATATTTCAATTATTCCCATAAATTGAATCCAAATCAAATAATTTCTTCGATTCATCATGTTCATTCATCCCATGTTGTTTGATAATTGAAAATTTCAGAAGAAAACAAAAGGGAATTTGAAACAATTTCAGCCATGTGTGAAAAACTGAAAATAAATGCTACATGCTTTTGCCATTACTGCCCACGTTCATATTGTAAAGCAGAAGGGTATTACACACTCGTAATAGCATGTGGGCCTAAAACATCAACCAATCGCCCCATAATTACACACCAATCATAATTTAATACATAAAACTACTCAAGCAATATATTAAGTGAATCAGGCCAGAAAAATATAAGTATACAGGCAGTAAATGATAGCAATCGTTTCAAAAAATGAAATCGAAAATTACAATGCCTCAAGGAGTTAACCCTGACCATATAAAGATTTCTCTAAAAATGTGATAAATCTCCTGATATTACACAACAGGAAAAATCATATTGACAAATTTTATGATAAAACAGGACCCCTATATTTATAAGACAATTGTACTGATTACAATTGCAGGTACATGTAGGTATCTAATAAGGTTAATAATTCAAGTTTAATAGGATATACCTGCAGTGATAGAAATATTTCATATAAATTAGTGTCTAATCAAATGATAGAAATAAGTTAAGGACACACGTCACAATCAAATATATTCTTTACATATCTGTAGGCACGGGAGTTTGAACAAGGCACTGACATGCAAAATGTTACCACCTGCCATTTGTTACAGACACCAACCACCAAACACCAACCCCCAAACACCATCCACAAAAAAAGTTGGAGATTTTAACAACATGTCAAAACAGAAACATAAAAGGGTACAATTGGACATACAATATCCCTCCTCCCACCTAATAGGGAAATACAAAACAATGTATTATGCCACTGACCCATCCTTCCATCATAATAATCCTTATGAACCCCATTTTGCTTAAAGAAACCAACTCTTTCCCTTAAAAGTATCTACCCAGATGATGGGATGGCAAGACAATATACAGGATGCCCATAAATTTTTTTTACAATTTCAATACAAAATCTGTATAATATATAAAAAGACTTTATGGAAACCCTGTATTTTAAGAAGATGAAGCTCTCTTAAAGGAGTAAAATCGACTGGAAAGGGTAAATCTCCCATGAAAAAACTTGCCCTGCTCTGCTTGGGGATCTGGAAAATCAAATCAAAGATGAAGTAATAACACTAGGCAATATTTGAAGAACACATATGTTCACAGAGCCCTATAAATAATACCAAAGGATAAAACCAACAATATGAAATGACTTGTACCAATAATATATATGTACTTAATAAAATAAACAGTGGGAAGTGCAACTATGTAGAATGTCAACTATTTAATATGTTGGTCTTAAGGATAATCTCTCAACTCCATTTCCAATGTTCTAAAATACTAGTTATTTCTCTCTCATTCAGTTCTCTATTGGCCCATTCATTTCTCTCTTATTCCTCATAGCGATGTTTTATCCCATTTATTTCTCTCTTGTTCCATTGCTTTCTCTTCTATCCCATCCATCTCCCTTTTGTCAATTAACTTTTTATTTCTCCCATTGATTTCTCTCTTATCCCATTCATTGCTCTTAATCCATTAATTTCCCCTCATTCCTTTTTCTCTTAATTTCAAATAATTTTGAAATAGATCAAAAGTACGGATTGCCCTTTACATATATTGCTATACAAATTACAGTGTAGTACATTTGGGTTAACAAAATTACATACCCATTATACTTAAACCATACAATTTTATTTCATTTAACACTGTTTTTAAATGGCATGATATTTTATTTGAACTGGTTGATACAATTGTTCTATTGAACGCTATATTTATATCAATAGTATAAATATTGTTCCTTAGAGTACATACTTGACCTTGCCCAATTCAATCACTTATCCAGCGATTGCGTATTGTTGCATGGGTTATTGTTAGGAAAATATGGCAATTCTTGATTGAATCAGAGGAAATGACGGCTCGAAATTGAACATTTCATAAATACCACAATCCGTGACATTTTCCCAATATGTCAATGCTTTGAGGAATGGCAGTTTGAGGGGTTGTGGTGCTCCAAGTTTGACAGAATGAAAGAAGTCGAAAATTTGACTATGCCAACAATTGGTATGGAAATAATGGGGGGGGGGGGGGTCATTGGGTTCTTCAATTTCTTATTACATTTACTCGTGTTAAGGTTCTTAACTCTATATAGTAATATTTTGAGAGACCTGATAATTAGCAAAACCTAAGTAAATATAAGCACAGAATGCCTTAATGTTAAATGGTTATGTTGTAAATCTCTTTCACCATGATGACAGGGAGGGGGGTACATTCATTTATTATCATATTTGTGATCAAAGTGACTTTCCTACATGATCATGGACTGATATTATTATTTTAGTATAAAATTAGCTTTAGTTGGTGTATTCCCTCAGATCATTTCTTCTGTCTACAAATCAGATATATCTTACATGTGCCCTTACAAAAAAACCTCTCGTCCAAAAGAGATTTCTAGTCCCATCATAGTTCTATAGAAACTTGAACACCTCAATGAAAGACTAAAAATCCCCAAAATTATCCTAATAACACCATGTACACATGAAAAATATTTGAATATGATATTAGATTTCAGAACATTTCTGTTGAAATTCAGAATTTTTCTTGAAAGGGCGTTAATCCCTCAATTCACACACATGTATGTATATATATCATGGGGGCTTATCCAGCATGTTTGATAATGTTTATTAGTTCTAATTTGATAATCTCACCTTGTCACCTCCCATTAACAATTTTCTTGGGGCTAATTAGTATATATTACATTACATTTGGTAAGTGATCTAACTTTGGCTGGAGTTTCTTGTCTGGCTAAAAGAGAACATGTATAATCTTTCCATAAGCCCTTGTAACCCTTATATACACCCCCCCCCCTCCCCATCTGATATTAGGGACTAGGGTTTTTCTTTGGACATCTTGATGTAAAACACAAAAGTATTCTATAATTCACCTATTAGGAATTTTACTAATCTGCTGATAAAACGATATGGTCGAGACATCAAACTTTAGCGATTTCCTCAGCTTGATGCACTATTAGGCTTCAGAGAGCATGACGATAAATGTCTTCTGCGAAACAATTAATAAAATCAGTGAACCATAGCTAATTGTTATTACAAAAAAACTGCTACTGCTTGTGACGTTGATTTTTCTAATGGCATGCAGGCTCTTACAGTCTTAGACATGATAAACAAGAATATCAGTGTAAAAACATCTTCATTACTAAAAACATCAGAATTCAAGGGCCCGAATTCAAGTTCAACGGTAGAAAAAAAAAATAACAATACATCTTACCTGCATCAGTTATGTTTATCTTCTGTTGTGTCACCTCGCCTTTGTAGATGCAGTAAACTTGAAACAATACTGTGTAGACGCCATCAAAATCAGGACTAGGAAATTTCCTCAAAGCTTTTCCAAATAACAAGACATCTGCCTTTTTGACTTGGTCAACAATATCATCACTTGTATCGTCCGGCGAACATCCCAAACTTTGGAGTGTAAAAACACTTAACAAAAGTCCGAATGCATAAACTACTGAGGTAAACTCCATGTTGAACGACTGGAAGTTAAAGATTTGACCTATAAATCAACGTTTTGTTCCAATTCGACCCGCACGATCACTCGCAAATCTTGTAGTGAATCTTTCCAAGAGTTTGTATTCATACAACGTGAATGGATGACCCGGTTTACTCTCCACGCAAATATTCCCAAACTTCGCCAGCAAACTTCCAATAATTGCAGCTGCACGGAGATTTACAACCTGTCAATTAAGGGAGCAACTGTTATTCGATTTCCATCAAACAAAGATGGTAGCACTATAAGGAGTTGGGTAGCAGTCTTGTGCTGACATCTTTAAATAACAGTATTTACTAAAATCGTATCGCTATAACATGTTTTCAAAGTCTCTCTGGTGCGATCTGTAAGTTATAGAATTAATTTAACTGATATCAGGTAGACTTTGAAATAGGTAAATAATATGCAGTTTCTATTCACAGTAAAATAAATGTCTACGTTTTTATATCAGCGGTAAGCTTATTCTTTTACAGGTGCGTCTTTACAATAAAACACATATCCAGGTATCACTAAACTTGGATCTTGCCCGGTGTAATAGATCTAAGTGTCCCCAGTGGCCAGTGTCCGTGGGACAGCCAACTCTAGGGATGCTTGTCCGTCGGACAGTTAACTCCAGGTTTTAAGTGTCCCCCTTGAAGTTTTGAATGTCCCCTTGGGGACACTAAAAACCAGCATCATTCGAAAGCTAGTTTTTAATGCCCCCCCCCCTTTATTTATGTATTAACTAATAATGCGTTTTATCATTAATAAATCATCGAGCACTACTCTGTCACGTTAAATATAGACCAAATATAACACAATTCACAAAATGTAAGTATATTATTGCTTTTATTTGCATAGACATCAAGTGAGCCTACATTAACCGTAATGACTCTGCATCACTGTCCTCTACTACTAATGAACATAGGTCACATTTTATTGCGTATATGTACTCCTAAATACAAGGGTCGTTCGAATAGTTTTGATGATCTTAAAAAATGTTTGGTCAATTTGAAGCAAGTTGAAATTTAGTCTTGAAAAGTTTCGAAATTTGACCTTTTTTCAGTAGTTTGATGTCTAATATCTCAAAACTGTCGCACAATTTTAATGGATAGTCAATAGCTTATATGTGTAAAACCTTTAGTGGAATATATATTCTGTCTTTCATCAAAAAATATTGATTTGTAATCATCAACTTTGATAAACTAAGAAAACACAGTTTGTGATTTAGTTTGATGACCTTAACATTTGACCTTGCAAAGGAGTGGTATCGATATGATGAACTTTTTGAACACGCGTTTCTCTTAAACCAGTCATCAAAACATTCTGAAAATTTTACACATCGTCCATTTAATGGTCATATTTTGGATGGTAACATTACAATTTGAATTATATATTTGGACTTTTCTCTATATTGTTTTAGAAAAACACATCACACACTTTTTTCGTTCTTGGTATCATATATTCGGAATGAAATGAAATATCTATCCGAACCTCATTGGAACAAAACGACATATAAACACAACGTGTTTAGCTCTCTCAATATTGCAATTGTACAAAGGAAAGTTTGGTTGATTTTAAATAAGTATCTTGTTAATGAAATGAAAGGTTTATCTTAATTTTTATCTATTTTAGGGGTTTTGTTTTTGGATACTTTTTGTTAAATCAACCCAAATTTTCTTTGTATAACTATAATATTGAGAGGTATAAGAAAATGTTGTTTATGCTATTTTGTTCCAACAAGGTTCGGAAAGACATTTTATTTCATTCTCAAGAATTCGTAAAAAGGAACAAAAAAACAATTACATAAAAAAATGTTAACAAAAACAGTTATATAAAATATATATACATTATTTTTGCATTAAATTGTTGCCAATCAGTCAACATTACATAAAGGACCGTGTTTTTTACAGAATGTTTCCTATAAATGGTTTAAGAGAAAAACATTGTTGAATTCAGTTCACCATATCGATACTTATCCTTTGACTTTCTTAGACATCAGTGGGTCTTTTTGTGATTAAATAAACCTAAATTTGAACCCAGAAGGTCAAAAGAAAGATCAGATTTGAGTTCCCGGGGACTTGTAGATGATTTTTAAAAATAAATTAGTCAATTTGAAGCAATATGACCAATTTTTTTACGTCAATTATCTCAAAAACGGTAAAAATTTAACGCAAACATATAGTAAGCAATTTGTAGAGAATGCTTATCTAGTTACATTTTAATTCATTGCAAGAAATAATCATGAAATATTAAGACAAAATCTGAGAAACTTAAAAAAACTCTGATTTGACCTAGATTTGGCCTTTGACCTTGACCTAGATAAAAATTCCCTCCCTGCCAAGTGCAGCTCAGGTCCTTAGTAGAAGCATATAAGAGTTATCTCAGACCTAGCTAGAAGTAGGAGAAAAGTGGTTAGGAGGAATGAATAAAAAAATAAATAAAGAATATCTATAAAAACTGGTGGTATCCTTTGAAAATGAAAAAATGGGCACCAATAATAATAGGCTACAATATGGAATATTACAATCTATTGAAACAATATAACATACGATACAATATAAACGGTGCAGACGGTTAATATATTTACACATGATATATCAATGCAGGATTCGAACCTGGAACCTAATAAATACAAACACAATTAATACACATTATGCCAACGCTTATACCGTTACGCCACAGTGGGAGAGATGCCGATATCCGATTTCGACTACACTATAACTTGGATCCTAGTAACTACAAGTATTAAATCCTATCAACGGGGGACATCACAATCTGTTACTGGTGTGACAGATCTGAGAGTCTCCCCAGTTATAAATGTCTCCCCATTTTACCCTTGTTAATATAGGAAATAAAACCTGGTTTTCAATGTCCTCCAATGGACAGCCAACCCTAGGGATCGGGGTCCTACGGACCCCGATCCCTAGGGTTGGCTGTCCCACGGACACTGACCACCGGGGGACACTTAAATCTGTCACACCGGGATCTTGCTTAAAAAAAGTTGACACTAAAATGCCATTTGACATGTCTATTTTCTAAAAATTATCAAGGTGCATTATGCAGTATTCCACCAAAACCAACTATTTTTACAGATAATACAATACAACACAGCACAGCACAACACAACGCAACGCAACGCAACGCATCTTACTTACTCGTTGGGTAGCAGTGATATAGACAGAAATTTGATCGTGAAATTGAAATATTTTAGGATAGTTTAGGAAAGTTTAGGAAATAAATTTATTAAAAATTGATTGTTGTATCAAAGAGCAAAAGTCTTTTCTGGGTCACCGCGAATGGCATGATTTCCTCGAGTCTCTTCAGTTGCAAGGCAACCATACTGGGACCGATTCGTGTCGTTCCACTACTGCCCTTGGTGGGGGCCCGCTACCATACTGTATGACTTCCGGAGTCTACCAAAGCACGTCAGTGGAGGAACCAACCACAGTCTCACAATCTGTCTCCGACAAAAGCGGTCAGAGAACCAACCCATGCCAAGGGCCGGTAAACGGTTGGACCTTCGGACCGGGTGTCCGTAGTGACAATGATCGACAACTCCGTACCTGGGGCTCGAACGCGGGACCTCCGTATCCCACGACGTTCAACCGCAAAGTAGCCTCAGTCTACACCACTAGGCTACCCTGCTTAGGTGTCAAAACTGCTAAAAAATAATGCAGTTGTTACAATTGTTTGCTTGGATAAACACGTAAACATTTCGATTAATCCCATTTGGTTGGAATCAAGATTGTCCAACGATCAAGGAACCGCAATGAACTAAACAGCTCTTGCAAAAGTTATGTCTATAAAGTCTTATTACAAATAATGAGTTTAGTATAATATTCAAGATCCATCTACTATTGAATATCAGAAAAGACAACCATTCTAAAATGCCGAAAGTTGTTACAAAAGTGCACATATCAATTGAGTCTGAAAGAAATCATTAGGGATCACGTACTATTGTAAGCCGATGTGTGAAAACAGTTATAATTGAGATACATGTATCTAGATTGGTTAATATATCGGTAAGTGAGTAGGTAATTGTTCATATGTTGAGCAAAATAAGCTATATTTTGGCACATTACTTCGGCACATTGAAATAATCGAATTATGTTAAGTACTAATTAAGCGTGGCTCACAACGAACAAGAATTGTGTTTACAATTTGCAAAAGGACAGACACAAGTTTCACAGTATTCAAACTATTTCAGAAATTTTATTTTTTTGATTTCCGATCAGTGTATTGGAGTTCTATATTTTCAGGTGCACGCAGTTCATCCCTCGCAATATCTTCGTCCACGTCCCCAGGTCTAGGCCTACGTCTTTCTTGCACAAAGAGTTCACGGATGACATTCGTATTTTATCAATGACTGAAACAAGATTGACAACAATGATTAGGCCTATATAGCTGTTATTATCTAAATAATATATTTCTTATTTGTGTACAACGTGGCTATAAAACATATACGGCTACACAAAATACATAACTTTTAGCCTGCAAAATACATGACTTGTACCACGCGTGTGTACACTGTGATGTAAAAAGGCGTTTACTTCATAAAAATCACAACCTTAAAACCAGGTGTGAAAGAAATTATGGTCCCCCGGGGATTATGGTTCCCCTTCTTAACGGCCCTTACTGACCCTGATTGTGTATAGGATGATAAGGGAAATAGGTCACCATATAAATCAATGGAGAGTAGGACCATAAATTGATAGGACCTCCTACCCTTTTACACAGGTGTAAAAGGGTAGGTGGTCCGATCACATTTTGGTCCTACTCTCTATTTATTTATATGGTGACCTAAATACAACTCTTTCCCTTATATTATCTTATACGCAATCAGGGCCAGTAAGGGCCGTTAAGAAAGGGGACCATAATCCCCAGGGGACCATAATTTCATTTACACCGGTTTAAAATATTGATGTATTATTTTCACTTGGAAGAATTAATAAACTTTATATATTTGCAAAGTTCCATTCAAATTCCCGCGTGGGCAATAAAAAAAGAGTAGACCGTTTTGAGACAGTGACCCTTGTTACACAAAACATGGTTAATTCCGGGGGAGAAATTGCTTCGTTACGAAGTATTTTGATAAAAAGCTATGTAAACATATTAATGAAAAACTAAATCTGAGACCTAGCCAGAACATATGCGAAG